TTGACATGCATACTGGGGCCCTCTCCACCTTTGGAGAAACTAGTTCTCTCTTGGTTGCCTTATTCTCTCTCTCTCTCCCTCTCCTTCCTCAAAATTATTAAATAAAACCTGTTTTTGCTTCACTGCTCATCTACTCCTGAAACTCTTTTCTGAGGGAAAGGGAAAGGATCCAAAAGGCCTGGGCAAGAGCTAGTATTGACGTTCACTTCCAGCAAAGGGCAATGCTTTGCTTCTGCCTGAGTCCACAACCACTGGAGAAATCGTGTGCTAGGGATCAACTTCTGTGCTCTGCAGAACAAGTGAGCCACAGGGGGGCTGACTGGCTGCCTAGTGGGGCTGGCAGGATGTGAGGTCTGTGCCCTGTGGACTCTTATCAGTCCTAGATTTCTCCAACTGTTCCCAGATGATAGAGCTGGATAGGGAGACAGTTGCAGGTTCCCTTCTCGAGGCTGCCACCACTCTCCTCCCCACTTCACATAAGTCATCCAGGGACCCCTATCAGATCAAAATGACTTGGGCATTTGCTTTCTTCTCCTCTTCCTTGGACTCCAGTATGACAGAAATCTCTAAATATCTCTTTGTGGACATGAAGATGGTGCCCGAGCCGGCAAACCCTGCGAACAGGAGCTGTTTCTCAGGAAGGTACAGCATGGCTGGGGTTGTAAGAACCAAAAAAGTAAATTGATGTGTGATTGAATCTCAAATATACACATAAACATTTGTTCATTTAGTTTCATGATGCATATTCAGAGGACCTAAGCTATCTCTGGAACAAGGCCAGTACATGGGAAGGCTAATACATGAGAAGCTGACTTGTGAGACAGCTGACATATGAGAAGCTGACTTGGGAGAAGGTAACACATAGGAAGCTGACAGGTGGAAAGGCTGATATGTGAAAAGCTGATTTGTGAGAAACTCACATGTGAGAAAATGACACATGAGAAACTGAATTGTGAGAAGTTGACACATGGGAAGCTGACATGTGAAAACTGACATGTAGGAAGTTGACATACAGGAAGTTGCCAGGTGGCCGGTATGTGGCAGATGACATATGAGAATCTGACCTGTGGATACTGACTCGTGGGAGACTGGTATGTGGAGGGCTGACATGTGAGAAACTGACAGTTGGGAAGCTGACATGTGAGAAGCTGATATGTGGAAAGTTGACATGTGGGAAGTGGACACGTAGCAGACTGATATATGAAATGCTGACACATGGAAGGAGGACACGTGAGATGCTGACATGTGAGATGCTGACACATGGGATGCTGACACATGAGAAGCTGACACATGAGATGCTGACACGTGAGATGCTGATATACCAGAGATGGGGAGAGCTGGGAATGCACTGTGAGCGGTGCTGAGACTCGGGGCCCAGAGACTTTGCTCACTAACCCAGTGTGGCTCAGCACTGTGTGAGGTCTGAGAAGGCTGCAGTCAACTCTCTGACACCTTTCACTTCTTATTGGTCTGTTTTTAGGAGTGCCACACCTGGCAGTGCTCAGGGGCTCCTCTACACCCAGCTCAGTGCTGGGGGCCTCAGAGTGCCCGGATCAAACCCGGTGTTGCCCCCACATGCAGATCCTGTGCTTCAGCCTTTCAAGCCATCTCCGCAGCGCACGTCCCAGAACCACCACCCTCTTCCTCTGGGAATCTTCACGTCCCTAGACCTTCCTCAGAGACCCTTTCCTGCCTTTCTCCAGCTGTCCAGGTCACTCTGCCTCTATTCAGAGAGCAGCAGCCGTACTTATGTGGATAAGAGGGGTACACCAGGCAGGTGGGCCTGTCCAGTGCACGTCTCCGGGGCAGCACCAGCAACCTTCGTTGCAGTTGAAAGTGTTTTTACTTATTTCCCAATAATCTTTATTGATTGCAGTGTTGTGAGTTGTGTACTGGTAATGGTGGTTTAAATTCAAATAATTCTCACACTACCCCACACCCATTGCCAGACCACCTGCCTCCCTTTGAAGGGTGACAGAGCAGGCACCAATGGGCACGGAGGACCACTCCTCTGTGACCTTCCCGATGTGCCCGGAACTGGAGGGAGAACACTGTCACACCCAGGGATTCCTGCTGAGTCATGCTGCACCAACCGCCAGGCAGGCACTTTCACAGGCAGAAGCAGTGTCCTGGCCTCAGGCCTCTGTGGTTTCTGCCTGCTGGAGTTCAGGTTGCTGTCTTATTTTGCCTTTTTTGTGTGAAGCAAAGTTTTTATTAAAACCTATTAGATGTGAAGGGAGAGAGAAAAGGAGAAGCATGTGAGAGCGAACACAGGTTTTCCAGAGTGGAAAAAGCAAGAAAAGAAACAGACAAGAGGCAACATGTATTCAAGGGAGAACATGGGCTTGAAGAGCAAGTCTGGGGTGCAAGTGTGAAGAGTTCAGACACGCCAGCTTGTTTGCTTAATTGTGGAGCCTCATCTGCCTCCTGATGGCTTGCTGTATGTGCTCTGAGCTCGTTGCAGAAATCCTGGTGCCCAGAGCAGTTTAACCTGAGACTCTCGCTCTGGAGACTGAGAAATACAGTGAGAAACACACAAACAAAATTTCCTGGGAGATCAATCTCTCTGGATTTGATATCATTGCTTCATGAAGAGTATGTTTCCTTCAGTTTCCTGTGATAGAAGTTTCTAGGTATGCGGGTACCAGGACTATTTTCTGAACCGCATAGCCGTGTAAGCATCCATGCGACATTTCCTGACGTGCAAAGTGATCAATGGAAAGTAAATGATCTAGCGTTTGCCCCTGAAAGACAGGCTTGAATGGTGGTGGGAAAATCTGAGCAAAATGGAATGCCCAACCCAAATGCATCTGGACTGTGCATTTAACTACGGTGCTATGCCGCCCTGGGAGGGGAAGAGTGTCTGTTCCTCCTCCTGTTCCCCCTTGCAGTGGCGGCATGGTGGCCTGCATCTTTTAGACACTAATGAACAGCCAGGTATGAGACTGTATTGACGAGGCACGTGGAGCCTCATGGGATGGGGGGTGGAATCGGCCCTGCTCCCCACCATGACAATGCCCTGGGTTGCCACCCTCAAACGCCTCCTCCGGCTTCTGAACAACCACGATCCCAGAGGCACACAAAGCAATCTCAGAATCCAGGGGATTTTGGCATTACTAAAATGTCAGAAATCCAAATTTGTGTGGCCTCTATTGCAGCCACACGACATCATATGCTCTTCATAATCAGCAATAGAAAACAAATTATCTGATGATATCTTTTTGGCATGTCTGAATGTTGGGGAAAATTCCAAACAATAATGTAGGGTCTCTTGTCGTAATATTGAATGCGATCAATGGAGAGAGAGAGAGAGAGAGAGAGAGAGAGAGAGAGAGTAAAGTGGAAATCTGCCACACAGGTGGGGGCAGGTTGGAGGGGGGTATACTGGGGTTCTTGGTGGTGGAAAATGTGCTCTGATGAAGGGACAGGTATTTGATCATTGTATGACCGACCAAGACTTAAACTGAAAAACTTTGTGACTATTCTCACAATAATTCAATAAATAAATAAATAAATAATAGCTGGTCAAAAAAATAAAAATAAAAGTATTATGGCACTTTGGCCTGGACCATTTTGATGCCAGGGTAGCTCACAGCTTGCCCTGGGTCCATCCAGTCCCTCGCCATGACCCTGCTTTTGGGGTGCTAGGAAGTAAGGGTCGAGAGGCTGAAGTTGAGAGAACAGAAGTCGAGAGAACAGAAGCCCAGGAGCGAATATCATTTGGAGTCAATTAACTCCCAAGTTACAAAAGCATAATATTAACTGTCTTCCTGTGTCTATACAAAAAGGACATTGCTCTGAATTAACTATGCAAAGGACACAAGGAGAAGAGAAAAGCAATATTCACAAGTTAACAGAGTCTGATTAGGAGATAAAGATGATAAACCCATTGGGGAAGCAGAGCACAAAGAAAGAGGTTACAAATAAACACAGAGCACTGTGATGGGAATAACCCAATAAACCTAAGCTCCATGTGGCAAGGCAGAAGGGACAAACCAATGTTATCCTACATCGCTCTACTCTAGCTTCAGGTAGAAATTCTGCAGAACCCATTAAGATGGGCTCCTTCCATCACATCCTTTTATGTAGTTTTATTAAGACGTTCAGTTATGACTTATATCCATATTTAGGTTACCTTCTTGTGCAGACTGTCTTTGCCCCACCCTGTGGCAGACACGATCACTTATATTGGGAGGCAATACAATCCCACCAATATAAAGGAAGTAAAAGATGAAGAGTGGGCAGTGAAGGAGAAAGAAACCACGCCCTGCCCCCAGGAATCAGAAACACACATCACAGTGAGGTTGCATGGGAAATGGGGCATGACCTCCTATGCGTGTACCCCTGGAAACTGACCCCAGTGGCCTGCTTCTTTCCTACAAAGAATGGAACTCTTCATGCGAATAGAGTGGAGGGACTCTTGGAGCTTTCCTGTCTGCTGGCAATTGGTTTCACTTCAAAGAGAATTATCTCTATGGTGTGTGTGTGGGGGGTGGGGTGGGGGGGTGGGTGATGTGCTCAGGTCAAACCATGGCTCCTGTGAAGTCCCACACCATGAGACATAAAATGTTACATGTGTTGGGAAGTCTTGCAGGAAAGCTGCTGCTGGTCCGGATCTAAAAGACGGAAGTGGTGACTGTGCTCCCCTGGCGTCTGGCCTGAGCTCGCTAAGCCTCGCTAAGCTTGCTAAGCAGCACAGTGGCTGGGGGCCTGAGCACAAAGCCGAGATCTGGATGCACGGGCAGCATCTCCAGCAGTCTTGCTGTTTCCAGGTGCTTGCCCCTGGCTGGCTGGATAGCACAGAACCAGTGTCCCTGCAGCTTGTTCACTTGCTTGCTGTTGTGGGTGGGACTGGGTCCCCACATCTGACCTCTGTGTGAGGAGGCAAGCCGTGGGGTCTGTCTAGGGCTAGACAGTTCCAACTCGAGGGAGGCTCACAGCCCCAAAGTGTGTTTGTTACAAGACTATGGCTGCTGTTCCCTACAGTTCTGAGACCTGGGCACTCATGTGAATTTTATTGAGAGACAGAGGACACAATGTTGAAAGGAGTGGACTTTGAAATGTGAAACAGGGCTCCAGGCCCAGGCCAATCAAGGCTTGCTTTTGTAAAGAACCACAGCACTTTCAAAAACTCTCTTTCAGCAGTAATCACGATCAGGATTATGACCATCCTGTTGTTCGTCAATTGGCTCGAGCAGGCCCCAGTAACGTCTCCTTCGTCCTAGCCCTGAGATTTTTTAAAAAGTGCCATATTCAAGGCTCTTTCAGGGTTAGGAGAATGAGACCCATCACTGTTACTGGTATTTGGCATATTGGGTACACCACGGGGAGTTTGCCAGACTCTGCCGTGTGGGCAGGTTACATTTGGTAGCCTGCCAGTTTGTCCGAAGTAGGAATGAGATGATAAGATGTCACGCGGCCGTGAATGCGTTTTATCAGTAATACTATGGGCAATTCTGAAACTAGGTCTGTGAGTGAGAGACCGAAGAAATGGTCAGCATCAGCAGGAAAACATGGAAGAAAGATGAGTAAGAAGTGTGAGAATAAGGGACCACGTGGCAGTGGTCCCTTAGCTATAGGTTACTCAGCAAGGTCACAGACAAAAAATCACCTCGAACACCAGTTCTTTGATTCCCACCAACTTCTGTCCCATCAGACTTGCAGTTTCTCTCAATCACGGCTCAAATTTTTCCTATAGATTCTCATGTAGCCAATTGATGTACTGGTTTTCTAGTCTAGATCCAAGCTTAAGTCCAATGGAAATCGCTCCGTGGAAGCCGTCCTCAATGTGATCGTGAGTCACCTGCACCCCAGCATTCCGCAGGCGGGTGACGTACATGACCCCGTCGTCTCTCAGGACATCATACTGACAGGTGAGGACATAGGTCCGGGGCAAGCCATGCAGCTGTGTGTCGTCAGCCAACAGGGGAGCTGCCCGCACGTCCAGAAACCCTGGGTACTTGTTCGCCAGCTTAGCACTGCCGAAGCTTGGATTCTTATAAACATGTCCCTGTTGAAACCTCTCAGGCAGCAAGGAGCTCCAGTTGACAAACCTTAGTAGGTGACCCGATTGCGCAGGCACGTGCTGGTTGGAAGACATGGCTTTTTCCAGGGACCTGTCTGTAGTGAAATACTCACTCCAGAACCTGACCATGAGCCACCGGGGCAGAGCTAGGAAGTGCGCGTTTTCACGGTAGGATGGCAAGTCCAAATCAAGAGTCTGGAGGGCAGGGTAGATGAGGGCCTGGGCCTTAACTTTCACCTTGACATCTTGGTCCCGGAGCAGCTGAAAACAATTTAAAGTCATTATTCAAACAATAGTCTTTATATAAAAAACAGTCAGAAACACATTTTAAAATAAGCCTGACTTCCATGAGACCAGAATCTCTGACACAGCCATCAGAACCATCTCTCAGAGAACTCGCTAGTCCCAGACTGCATCTAAGCCTGCCTGAGTCCACCTTGTCAGAGCTCCTGCACTGACATTGATCCAGAGGCCTGCCCCTAGGGGCAGAAAGGGCACTGTAAGCTGAAGTGATTTGGGTGTTCTTAAACCTTGAAAAGAAATCTTGTCCTACACTTTTCTCATGTCTTATTGGTGCTTTGATGCTTTCCAGAACAGTCTCTTATCCAGAGTTTCAGCTCATAGGTCAGAATCCAAGGACATGTCATTGCAGATGTGAGCCTTGGAGGCAGCAAGTTCTTGTTGGAACTCTGTGTTTTCAAAAGTCCGGCAGCGCTCTCTCTCACCGCCTGCGTTTGGTGGTCTCGGGTTGCTTCCCCCACCCCAGGGAGGTGGATGGCGATGGGCAGGAGAGGAAGCAACGAGGGCCAGGCTGGTTGGTATCAATTGTAGTTTATTCCAATCTTCACTCCCCTTCTGCTTCTCTCTCTCAAACCTGAGCCCCTCTCACTTCTGACTCTGCCCTCTGGAGCCTAAGCTCGAGCCTAAGCCCGAGGCTGAGCCTGAGCCTGAGCCTGAGCCTGAGCCTCAGCCTGAGCCTCAGCCTCAGCCTCCACCTGCGCCTTCTCACTCCCTCTGAGCTTACAGTCTTAGTTTATATAGCAATCATGTAAGGTGGTGACACAAAGGTGGGTTGAACATTAACAAATCAGCAAAGAGAGGTAAGACCACTTCTTGAGGAGTTTAACTCAAGGATAAAATCTCATCTAAAGAGATTATTCCAGATTATTAGGAGATCTGCTCAAGGGTGGGATCCCAAAGAGGGTGTGTTCTTTCCTCAGCTAGTAATCTACTTAAATAGTTGTACTAAATCTAACTTCCAATATTTCCAGCAATGTCATTCTGTATGAGCACAGTAAGAGATATAAACTTACAGTTTGGTTCTTCCTGAGGACATCTCACTATATATTCCGCAGTCCTCAGGCCAGGTTAGTCTTCCTAATCCCAGCAGGATCCTAGTCCCATTGTTACTTACTTTTGGATCATGACAGCATTTGTCCATGATCATGCCCTCAACTTAGAGTTGAGTATCATGGCGCTTTGGCCTGGCCCATTTCGATGAAGGGTAGCTCACAGCTTGTCCTGGATCCATTCAGTCTCCCGTTGGGACCCTGCTTTTGGGGTACTAGGAACTAAGGGCAACTGAGTCGAGAAAGCAGATGCCCAGGAGTAAATATTATTCGGAGTTAATCATCTCCCAAGTTACAAAGCATAATATTAACTGTCTTCCTGTGTCCATACAGAAAGGACATTACTTTAAGGTAAACTACGCAAAAGACATAACTTATAATACAAGTTCAGTGTCCTTAGAAGGATCTTACAAGCTAACAGAATCTGATTAGGGAGAAAAGGTGATTAATTGGCTGGGGAGGGGGGCACAGAGAAGGGTTTAGAGATAAACAAAGGAATGGGTGTGACTAGGGAACACTGTGATGGCTACACTGTGATGTAACTCGATAAACCTAAGCTCCCTGTGGCAATGTTATCCTACAGAACTCCAGGCCCAAAACCCTGACTCCTGCATCTTATTGGAGTTACAAGTTCTCGGTTTCTGATAAATGGGAGATATCTGCTCTGCAGATATTAGAGCAGATATTATTACTATTTAGAACAGATCACAGAACACGTATCTTTCCTTGGGCTGTAAGGAGGAAGCTTTCCAACATATGAAGAGCCCAAATTTGCATATTTTAAAATGCAAGTAGAAAGAAATACAATCAACAAAACCAACAATGGTGTTCATTTGATCTGCACAGTATATTTAAATACAGCTTTTACGTTTAACTCTTAAATTGCATATCACGGGTGGGCCTCCCATTGTTCATCAATTTGCTCAAGCGGGCTCAGTAACGTCTCCATCATGAGACTTGTTACTGTGTTTGGCATATCGAATACGTCACGGGTAGCTTGCCAGGTTCTGCTGTGTGGGCGAGATACTCTTGGTAGCTTGCCGGGCTCTTGGAGAGGGGTGGAGGAATCGAACTCGGGTTGGCCATGTTGGCTGCTTGTAAGGCAAACGCCCTACCGCTGTGCTATCACTCCAGCCCCAAATTGCATATATTCATTTGGAAATATATGAGTCAGTTTGTCCTGTTGGAACATGGTTTTTGAGCCATAAGTGACCGGTTCTTTTCTTAGGTCAGATAATTAGAATTCAGACTGGTTCTTTTGTTTGTTTGGGGGCCACAGCCAGCAGTACTTGGGGGCTACCCCCTGGTGCAAGGCTTGTGGACAAAGAGGTGCTGAACACAAACCTGAAACCACCCATGCACACACTCCAGCCTATGAGCCCTCTCCTGGTCCTGGTACCAACACTTTTTACCTGTAATTGATCAAGCTAAGTATGATTAAGTGCCAGCTTTGAGCCAGTCTGCAGGTTTGGCTCACTGACATAGGAACAGTGCTGTGACTGATACCTAAAAGTGACCATTTCTCCTGAAAAAGTAGTATCCCTGAACCTGTCCACTCTACTCCGTGACAGCAGTTTCACCACAAGTTTGCACTGCATTGGAGAACTCTGGCTACACTTCAGTTCCCAGTGGTTGTGACTGTATCACACGCACAGAGACACACACGCACACACACACACACATGCACACACATGCATATAAATATATATATATATATATATATATATCTCCCGTGATATCAGAAAGCATGGTACTCCTTAGCCAACCATATTAATTATGTTGAAGTCAATTAATATAAAGGAATTTTCATTATTTTAATTTTTTAAAGGATGTAAAGAGAAGAACCCAGTTTATAAAAGTTCTCTGATATGAATCGCTACATCTCTCCAATGCAAATAATATCTGTATTATGTCATCATCTTTCCACTGGTATTCTGTCTAAATAAGTGTGTGTAAGTGCAGAATGTTTTAAGGAGTGAGCCATGCTCAGTGTCCTACCTGTTGACTCACTGCAGCGGCTAAATTCCCTCCAGCACTGTCTCCAGAGATTCCGATCCTTGTAGGGTCCACACCATACTTTTTAAGGACATCTTGACGTAAGAACCACTTTAATGAGTTATATACATCTTCAAATTGAGCTGGAAAGTGATATTTAGGTGCTAGCCTGTAGCTGCAGACAGATTAACAATGTTCATGTCAACTTCATTTCTGGGTGGTTATTGCTTGTCATCTACACTGAAGTCCCACTGCACGACAAGGACTCCATCTCAGGGGCGTCACTACATTCATTCTCACCCCAACTCACCCCCTCTAGCACACACTGACCCTGTCACTAGCTCACTCACACCTTCCTCTGCCCTTCTGAGAGTCAGCCCACAGGTTCAGTTTTGTTTTATTTCAGTTTCTGTCTTTGCTCCGTTGCCCTGTATGCCACACATGTGAGAAGTCTTCCTTCTTGCATTACACTACACAGTGGAACAATAATCATTTTAATATTTAAAAATCTGTTTGAAAGCACAGTCTTCTAACCCTAAAATCAAACGTAAAATCTCCTTTATCATTCCTGATATTTGGGGTTGTTAATACTCAAAATACAGACAACATCCTTCTCTTCATGCTGAATAGAAAAGTTTTTACAAATCTTCAATTTTATATGAGAAAAGGCTTGGATGCAAACCTCGAATTAGACTTAAGGATAAAACAGCAGATAACATCCCCTAATTAAACTTCTTCCAGAATGTCACTATCTCTGCAAGTTTACTTCGTTATTAATTTTTTAACATTCTGTTCCAACTTAATCTAATGACCAAGGTAGCATTGGGTCAAGAATAAGTTTCTTTTTATAGTTTCTTGGTTACTTTATTAAGTTACACTGGGATTGCTTCTTTTATTGATTATGAATATAGAATTTTTTGAGGTAGCTCCTATATATGGGCTGGAGCGATAGCACAGCGGTAAGGCATTTGCCTTGCACGCAGCAGCCCAGCCGAGTCAGGTTCGATTCCTCCGCCCCTCTCGGAGAGCCCGGCAAGCTACCGAGAGTATCTCGCCCACATGGCAGAGCCTGGCAAGCTACCCGTGATGTGTTCAATATGCCAAACACAGTAACAAGTCTCAAAAAAAAAATTGGAGACGTTACTGGGCCCACTCGAGCAAATCGATGAACAATGGGAGGACACCTCCTATGCTCCTATATATATTCTCATATTGTTTAGTGAGTTAATCACCTTAGGTGAAGCCTGTCGACCAGCTCACTGGCCCTATGATCCACTTGTGTGATCTCTGTGGTTCAGAGGGGCCAGGACCCCTATTGGCGAGACATGCTGTGGCTGCCCACCACGGCAGCTCTCTCTCTTCTGACTCATCTTGGTCACACCAAGCTCGAGTTTCCCACTCTCACTTCCTAGATGTCACTAGCATTGCGTGTCACAAACCCAGATATGACAGTAGTACCAAGAGAAGGCACCCAACCCCTGGGCTCAGAGCCTACACAGTTCTTACTTGGTGGAAATGACCACAGCATTCAATCTGTGGGCTGTCCGTCTTGACAGAAGGTCATAGATATAAAACTCTGCAACAAAAAGAACTGAAATCAGAGACTGTGAATGAGTGGATGGGTCTCATTCAACATAGGAGAAAACCCCTGAAATGCTGTGGGCAAATGTACTTGGTCCCTCACTCTCCTACAGAACCTATTTCTCCTTGGTGCCCTTTCATAGGCAAGTTGCCAGTCTTCTGTCTTTCCCCATAGTGTCATGTGGCACACTTCTGACCAGTTTCATTCTCAAAATGAGCCTCATGTCCCCTCACTTAGCAGGTGTGGAAGAAACAGACACCAGCCTTAGCTTGCTGGCCTGCAGGACGTCAGATTATTGGACAAAGAAGGGAAGAGGGGAGGCCCAGAAACAAAAGCAGCAATGTGCGAGGCTAGAGGGGCCAGTCAGACTAGCCAGCCAGTTCATGTCTTGGGCAGGCAAGAAGGGTGTCAGGATAAAGACAGGGCACAGTCCACTGCTGGAGTTGGTTAAAGTTCCACTGGCATGTAAGACACTTCATAGGACTTTTAGGAATGTGTCAGGGGGTAGGTACAGGGTGTGATATTGTCAAACAGGACACAGCAGGTGGGCTGAGAGGAGAGGGAAGACCTCAGGCTTTAAGCCTGGACCCAAGGTCAGACATACACCAAGGTGATGCTTTCTTTGTCCTCCAACATGAATAGCACCTTTTATTTAAAGTTAGGTCACAGGTACTGTGCCTTTCTCTAACGTGGAAACAGAAAGCATCAGACAAATGCACTTTGTTTGAGGGTGCTATTATCTGCTTCCTCAGCTGTAACAAACATGCCCAGACTTGGGAGGAAGATCTTTGAAGTAGTGTGTTGGGCAGGGTACCCCGGAGCTGGCCAAACCACCATGTGGCCGGACTTTATACTGGAAACATGGCCTCACTGGAGGGGAGAGACCGAATCACTTGAGACAATCTCCACTTGCACTGTGTAAGGACCCAGGTGCCCCTTTCCAGACGCATGTTGGTCCTCTGCATTTGGCAGGCCCCCAGCACCCTTCCAGTGACCCATAGTTACCCACCGCTCCTCTACCAAAGACATGCTGGCCAACCTCTCATAGATAGATAAAAAATATAGAAAGACTTAATGCACATGATACGTGAATAAAGGCAGACTTTCAGTATCTAGAGTGAATTGTACATAGTGCATCCTAAGTACTGTGCACATGTAAGCATATTAGGTAAAGGTAAAGGTAAAGGCCCTCCCGTTGATCGTCGATTTGCTCGAGCGGGCCCAGTAACGTCTCCATTGGAGACTTTGTTGTTACTGTGTCTGGCATATCGAATACTCTCGGTAGCTTGCCGGGCTCTCCGAGAGGGGCGGAGGAATCGAACTCTGGTCGGCCATGTTGGCCGCTTGTAAGGCGAACGCCCTACCCGCTATTAAATACACAAAATAAACATTAAAACGGGTATTCTTAGCTAGAGATGAAAGTAAAGCAACTTTGCTCAACTCTATTCTTCTTTCTCTTCTACTTCATTCCTCTTGTTCCTCCACCACTAAGTTTGTTGAAAGTCTGGAGTCACCACCTCATTTCCCTCCACTGCCCTTTCAACTTTCATTGGAACAGCAGTTAACAGGTTTAGTAATGAATGTCTAAGTTCAAAATAAGATTTCTTGCCTTTAACCACAACACCCAATAGGAGAGAGAGAACAAAAGGGAATGCCCTGCCACAGAGGCAGGGTGGGAGGGGGGTATGGGGGGTGGGAGGGATACTGGGATCCGTGGTGGTGGGAAAAGGGCACTGGTGGAGGGATGGGTACTTGATCGTTGTATAATTGAAACCCAAGCACAAAAATTTGTAAGTCTACAACTGTACCTCATGGTCACTAATAAAAATAAATAAAAATAAATATATAAATATGTCTAAAAAAAAAGATTTCTTGCCTTAGACTGGCTACTGCACTGTAGCACTGTCCTCCCATTGTTCATCAACTTGCTCAAGTGAGCACCAGGAACGTCTCCACTGTGAGACTTGTTGTTACTGTTTTTGGCATATTGAATATGTCACGGGTAGCTTGCCAATCTTTGCCCAGCAGGCAGAATACTCTCGGTAGCTTGCTGGACTCTCCGAGAGGGGCAGAGGAATCGAACCCGGGTCAGCTATGTGCAAGGCAAACGCCCTACCCACTATGCTATCGCTCCGGCCCATAATGAGATAAAGGAATTCATTTCATTGACTTTCCTTGAACATGGAATTGATAGGAGAATTACCAAGAAATTCATGATGAACTATTCTCAAAATATAAATACTTGGCATGATGTTTCCTTGCACCTATGCCTACAGTACGAATCACTAACTCAAGTGACCTAAGTCACTAGCAATTTCTTTATATATATATGTATATATATATATATATATTTAAGTGTTTTCTGCTCAACTAGAATTGTTATTGAAATCATTTACAAAATCATTTACCAAAATCTGGTGCTTTACAAACACTGAGCATGAAGCTCAGGGCATAAAGTTTGAGATACTTTATTCTGAACCCAGTGACATATTAGTCCATATTTTTTCTGTTTTTTTTTTTGAACAGAATACAATGTGCACTTGTGCTTCTTTTATTTATTTTTTTTATGATGCAGCCTAGCATTGGGATTACTAACTCCGACGACTAGCATGGCTATTATTTTCTCCATTACCTTGCAATTCTTGGAGAAAACTGTGAGCAATCACAACACAGGTGTATTTGTTGCACATTAATAGCACCTGGAACTTGACACTGAAATTCTGGAAGTCACTAGGCAGCACGTATTTCTTTACTTGCTGTTCCCATAATCAATTTTGGGTATCAATAATTGGTCCTTGAATATTTTGCTTATCCTATAGTCCATGTCCATGCCTGTGGAGTTTTTCAAGTTACATTTAATTTTTTTCAATTTTTAATTTAAAATTTTACTGATTGAGATTGTTTGCCTTACAATAATATTAATGTTGATCTTTCACACACATAATTCCAATACCACAACCTTCAACCAAAGGAACAGTTCTGAAGGTTTCAGCCATCACTTTCAGATGGCTGAAACGTTGTTTTTCTGGAATACTATTTAGCAGATATGTCTTCATGATTTGTCGGAATTAGTAACTGAATAAATTGCATGTTAAGCTAAAAAATTTTAAGACGGTGACCTACCGGCACTTCCCAAACACCAACCACCGCCATGGATATAAAATAAACCTCTCCGGGGTGTCTCAGTCTCCCTCTTTGGCACATAGACACGGACAGGGGTGTTGTGGAAAGTGGTATCCACCACAGTGACGTTTTCATCAGAAGTCGGTGGGGTTTCCAGGAAACTCATGAGGTACATGCTACTGGTCATATAATGGCTGATTCCCAGAAACTCAACCAACAGCATCTGAGAAGAGAGACAAGAACAGGGCTCATCGTGAGCATCAGGGCAGCAGAGCCCAGGCACAGGTCAGGGAGACACCTGGAGGACTGGACCTTGTAGCCTCTTCACAACCCAGGGTCTAATACCACTGCCATTGCCCTAGAGGATTACAGGGTATGGCCACTTGGCAAACTCTTGCTTTTTCTGAGTGTGAAGTAAGACCAAGTTCCTGGCCTAAGTGAGCTTAGGTTCAGGTGGGAGAACGGGATCAACAGGCGACTTTAAGGCATCACTCTGGGGCTCTCAGACATGTGTGGGAGGGCCACCACGGTCACCTCACAGATGGCAGCTGTTGTGCAAGATGAGGCAGAGATTTCCTGCAGTGGGTGGGTCTGACCTGTTGGTCCAAAATGGGTTGAGGAGGGAACTGTCCAGAGATGGGTGAGACAATTTGTGCAATTTCCTGGCACAGAAAGTCTTTGTGCTGCCACAGACCCAGGCCCTACCCAGCAGAACTGGCCAGTGGAGGCTGTATACCAGAGACCCCTCACCGATGTGCTCCTGAGCACACCAGCAGACACCTGTGACAGTCCTCCTCACATGTGACCCTTCCTGCTCCCATGCATGGTGTGTGGCTGTGTTTGTGTAGGGTGTTTTCCTCACTTATCTGCATTGTTTTCCCTGAAATCCCTTAGTGTGAGAGGACAGTTGGTCTGTCAGCCAGGCCCACTTTTCCAGTCTATCCACCTCCCCACTGCTCACCTGTTTCAACTGCCCTATGACCTCTGGGTGACGGGGTTACGGGGGAGGCCCCTGAGAGAGGACAGCAGCATGTGAGGGGGCCATGTGCTGCCAAGGAACCATGGCTCAGAGGTTGGCGTTCCCACGGCCATTGTTTCCCAGCCCACACGCACAGCATTTTTGTCCTCTCTGCACCCTTACTAGCACAGGTAGCTCAGCGCAGAGAAGATGAGAGGAGAAAATGGCTGCTCTGGATGCCAAGTAATCGGCAAGGTGGCAGGCGGCACTGCTGTCTGCTCGGCCTTGGCTGGGAAACACTTCCAGCTCCCTTGACTTTTACCAAGCAGCCTGTTTAGAAATTCCTCTGTAAAGCAGCATGTCCCTGGGTGAGTAGCAGAACAGAATTCTGCCACTCAGCCTGCCTGTGGGGTCCACGCTTCCCAGAGACGCTGCTGTTGTCTTGCCCCAAAGAGATCTTCGTTTTTCTTGCCAGCACACTGTCTTTTAACACTGAAGATCAAAACGACTGGACTAGTTCCAGGATCCTGCATTAAGGAAGTGAAGCCAGGCAAATGTGGGATTTCAAATCAATCAGCAAACCTAAAGAGCTAAAGTTCCAAGACAGCAGGAAAAAAAGTCTAAAAAATTAAATTATTTAATATTCCAAATCAATAAAATTCTACTTACCAAGTTTGATACAGTTTTCATACTTGTTTGCATGCTCAGCACTGCCCAGGGCTCTTCGATGTTCTCTGGGAGTGGCGTATACACATACCACGCACCAATGACCCCCAGAAACAGAAGTAAAAATGTCCTTCTGCCCATGGCGGTTCCCGTCCTACTTAGCAGCTCAGCCTACACACTTTGGAAAAAGCAACGTGTTGAAATTTCAGCCTGGTATTCTTGCCACAGCCTACATATTACCTAACTTCCAGATTACAAGTTCTCTGCCCAGCCTGTCACCTCATTGGTTATCATTCAGAAATGATTAAACTTAGAACAAGGACAAAAGAGCAATTCTGCTTAGCAAAAGTACCCACTTCCTGGCACAGCTGCCAAATCCACTGGCTGTATTAAGTTGCTAGGCAATCAATAAATAAACATTTGTCACACAATTTCATGAGGCAGAATACTCATTAGCAAGAAAAACAGTGTAGAAGTAGAAGGAAGGCAGTACATGCTTCTCATCGCCAATCTCAAAGAGAGGAAGGCCTGATAGACACTGTAAAAGTACAGATAGCTGTCACAAGTCAACGGAGTGGTCACATGTCTTTTATGTCCATGTTTTAATGTCACTGTCACTGTCCTCCTGTTGTTCATCTATTTGCTCAAGTGGTCCCATAACATTGTGAGACTTGTTGTTACTGTGTTTGGCATATCAAATATGTCACAGGTAGCTTGCCAGGCTTTGCCGTGCAGGCAAGATACTCTTGGTAGCTTGCCGGGCTCTCCGAGAGGGGTGGAGGAATCTAACTCGGGTCGGCCGGGTTGGGCACGTGCAAGACCCTACCTGCTGTGCTATCGCTCCAGCCCATGTTTTAGTGTACTAAAACTAATACTTAACTTTCAATAGCTTCTTTATCATGAAAGAGAGAAAGAGGACAAAGGAAGCTCAGGAAATTGTTGCAGTTTATCATGCAGTCCTTGATGCCAATGTCCTGGCTTAGACTCAGTTCCAAAGGCCACAAGATAACTTCCAAAGACAACAGGAAGTGGAGGTGAGGGTGGAGTCAAGCCCTGTTCACTCAGTTTGCAGGTGTTCCTGGGAGCATCTCAGAACCACTGCTAGTGGAAGGCGTGGAACAAGTTCTGGCCTACCGAACTGACAGCCGCCAGCATCATGTTCAGGCCTAGCAGGAGACCCTCAGCACCAGGATGTGTTTCTGACATGGCACAGACCACACACTTAGGGCTCTTCTGGCAGCTGTGGTTGGTTATTCACCAAGTTTTGTTGTTTTGTTTTATTGAAACAAGGTTTTTACTGAAGGAAACTTACCTAAAAATATGTGAGGGGCTAGAGAAAAGAAATACATATTCAAGAGAGAACACAAGCTTTTCCAGAGAGGAATAAAGCAAGTGAGATAGTGTTCAAGGGAGAACATAAGTTTGAAGAGGAAGGCTATTTGCCACGTCTTACTAAAGTAGAATCTAAGGTCCAAGGACAAGGAGGACTTTGCCCAGAGGGAAAATGTAGAAATCAGTGAAAGAACCAGACTGGCTCCTAGCTCTGCTCTCCCAAGTCCAGGGTCCAGGGGGCATACTTCTTTTACATATTTGTGTTTTTTGTTGTTGAGATAATTTAGGTTAGATGACTGCATATGTTCTAGGGTTACAATTTCACACTTTTTCAAAATGTTACCACACCACAGCGACTACCAAAGTCCAATATTCAAACAATATGTTATTTTTTGCCTGCCTCTCCTACTTTCTTTAAAAGTGAAATTTTAAAGTGCTAAACATGAAGCCTTTTAGTTCTGGTAGTGAAATTTACATAAAATTTAACATTTGAGTCATTTTCAATTCTATGGAGTACATATAGTACTATGATAGTAAATAAATTCAATAATTATTAATTATTGAATAATTATTAATAGCATTATTAATAATAATTAATTATTAATATCATTTTATAATTATTAATAATTATAAAATAATTATTAATAATTATTAATATCACTTTCAAATATTTTTAATCTTCCCAAAATAAAATTCTATGTCCATCTAGCAATAAGCAAGGGTTTTGGGGGGTTTGTTGTAGTTCCTTATAGAGCCATTCCTTATAGGCGGTGCTTAGGGCTTACTCTGCATCTACCCTCAGGAATCCTGGTAGTGCTCAGGGGACCATATATGGTGTCCAGGATCAAAACCCGGTAGGCCAGGTGGTACAAGGCAAGTGCCCCACTTGCACTATCACTCTGGCCTCAGCAAGGTACCCGCCTCTCCTACTTTCTTTTGTCCTTGCCTTCTAGCCTTGTAGAAATCAGAGATGAAGGTTTCATCAAAGGTGCTGACGCACAGTGAGTTACACTTTAAGGAAGAGTTCAAACACCTCTTTTAGGGTGCAGGTGGCAGTGGGCAGTAGGGATTATAACAGAGAGTTCAAGGGTTAAGGTGCATGCCTTGCTTGTGGCCAGCTCGTTTTTATCCCAATGACCTCAGTGTGGTCCTCCCCCTACCCTGTTAGGCATCTCATTTAAATTGTTGTTGTGCCTCAGACCTGGAACTGACAGGGTGGTGAGATTCATACTCCCTCAGCTGCAATGAGCCTCCAGACAAGCAACTGGACTGACGAGATGAAGCTGCTGGAGCACTGTCTTTGATGCTTTAAAGCAGAAGCAAGGTTGGAGTATGCTGAAACCCAGAGATATCAATTTCCCATGTCTCAAGCCATCAGCCACTGGCAATCAAAGCCAATTAATCTATGTATACTTAGAGAATGTCAGGTTTCCTGGAAACAACCCAGTTCCCAGGGAAGTTAGAACTGGGGACATTCCCTAATATATATATATATATAGTGCAATAGCACAGTGGGTAGGGCATTTGCCTTGCCTGTGGCCGACTCAGGTTCAATTCCCTCGTCCCTCTCAGAGAGCCCAGCAAGCTACCGAGAGTATGGCAAGGCCTGGCAAGCTCCCCATGACTTATTCGATATGCCAAAAACAGTGACAACAAGTCTCACAATGGGGGCATTACTGGTGCCCTCTCAAGAAAATTGATGAACAACAGGAGGACAGTGCTACAGTGCTACTGTTGGATATATATATGTATATATATATATGAAATTATAAATTGTTATTGGTAGATATGCTAGAAAATCTAAAGTAATTGTCTTATAGACAGGAAACAGAATGCCTATGTCAGTTCTATCCAAGTACATTCATATCACCAGAAAGTACAATAAAATGTTAACATTTTAAAAATCAATCTTCACAAGTTAATTCTAAACTGCATGGAAGAATAAAGTGCCATGAAAAGTTAATATGTTTAAGATGGAAAAAGAGTAGAATTAAGGTAGTTGTTCTACAAGACTGAAATTTACTACAAAGCTATACAGTGTAAACAAAATATGACTGATTTTGTGTAGTTAAATTATCAGGAAGCCAATGAAGTAGCACAGGGTCATGGTGCTTGCCATGCGCACAGCTGATGCCAGCTCAGTCCGCAGTCCTCAGGTCCTCAGTTCCTCAGAACTTCCAACAGTTCCCCAGGCACCTCTCAGTGTGACCCTTGAGCACAGGGCCAGAAGCCCTGGCGTGCCCGCCCCACTTCTCCACCCCACCACAGATGAACAGGTCACAATCTCAGGGCTCCACAGTGAGAGGAAACTGGGGAGAGACTCCACACTCTGCAGGACCACGGAAAGGCCTGGCAGCCAGGCTGTGGGGACAGATGGAGCCTCCCCATTCTCACTCACAGCAACACAAGAGAGAAAGCCACAAAGTCCAAGAGCAAAGCACACATCCTGTAACATGTGGGTGACCCAACTCATGAGACATGAGCATTAGATAATGAGGGAAGCTGAATGCCATTCGATAAATATAAGCAAGTGAAATATTAAAAATAAAAGTATTAGCCTCTTTACAGATGATGGAAACTCACTAACATCCTCATGCATCAAAGTAGAGAGCAACTGTGGCCCAGTGTCCACACATCCCTCCCTCACTATAGCAGACGACGTGGGAAAGAGAAGCAGTTATCCACATAAAGCATCACAGAGGATCATGAAACATAAAGTCATAGAGTAAGTACAGTGTGAATGAGAAATCAGAAGGTGTAAAACAAAAAATGCATATAAAATGATCTTTTTCCGGCCAAATCTTTCAACTATAGAGGCTGAGGAAAAGCTACCCCACACATCCAGGAACCTCAGAAATATCCTCTAAGTTCTTCCTTGGGGCAGGGTTAGTGTGATAGCAGCTGAGCCGGGGGTCTGGAGGTGATCATCACAGCAGTAACTGGTGGTGAGGATGAACATCTGCTCAGAAACAGCTAAGAACATGGACATCATCTGGGATTTTATTGTGAGGAAGTTTTGTCTCCTCTCTCCCATTAATTTATGTATTCTACCTCTGGAGACTTGTGTATATCTATTTTATATTTTGAATTATACACCAATATCATGCTATTTATTTTGGTTATGCATTTAATCCAAGAAATACATATTATTGCTATTTAGCAATCTCTTCCTATTTACAAGTTCAGCTGAAAATGTTTTCCTGGTTCATTATTTGTGATGATATTTTCTGTTGCATTTGGTCTTTTACCTTTTATTGTGTCAACAATTGCTCGTCCATTATCTTAAATTCATATAAATTAGGGCCAGCTATTAAGTATATCGTGCCTTTTTCAAATTTCCTGATTTGCTAATTGGTTCTGATAAAAGGGGGAAAAAAGAGGAATAGAGAGAGAAGGAGGGAGGGAGAGAGGGAAGAAGAGAGAGACAGGAAGACTGAGAATGAAGAAGAAAAAGGCAGGCAGAGAGGGTGGATGCAGAAAGCAAACCAGTGATTACCATTTCAGAAACATTAACTGACAAGTGCCCATTACTGAGAAGGGAAAAATGCATTTAGGATAGACTTGAGGCAGAACAGCAGCATATACAGGCTTCAGAACGCTTTCGTAATGGGGTGTGTGTGTGTGTGTGTGTGTGTGTGTGTGTGTGTGTGTGTCTATAAAATGTCTCCAGCACTTTGAAAACACGCAGATCAGTTCAGGATCATACTAGATAAAACACAAATTTCATCGAAAGGGAGCAGAAATAGTGTGTGGGGGGGGGAATAACTAACAGTCCCAAGAGGAAACTATTGAGTTATCTCAATGGAGAGGTGAGGGTATACGCCAGTTTCTAGGCAGTTGCTTCTGTACAAGTCTATCTGTAAAGTAGTAAGAATGAAAACCTCCTTGAGTGGCTGATCTTACAAAGCTGCTGCAGGTGCATTATCAGCATTTGTCTCTATGATAAAAGTGACAGAACTGGAAATGGGTGAAAGGTAGCAAACGTGGTCTAACGCACAGCACCTGTCTCCTCACGCAGTGGAGTTCAGTTCTCCTCTGAACTCTTACAGACAAGTGATACTTTGGAAGTTTGCCTCTGAAAATCATTCACATGCAGAAAACAAGCCCAGCACTTAGTTTTCAATTGAAGTCTCTGCCCATGTGGAGAATAAAAACAGGCATAAGATGTTTTTTTTTTTTTTTTTTTTGCCAAGGATCCAAGTCTTCAATTCAGAGGAACAAACTCTGGAGAGCCATGGGCATGTTATTTTTCTTTTGTCTGCTTGTGTGTGTGTGTGTGGGGGGGGTCATGCCCAGCAATGCTAGGAATAACTTATGACTGAACTTGGGGGACCAAATGGGTGCCTAGAATGGAATCCAAGTTCCTTATGTACTAGACCAGTGCCCTACCCCTGCACTTTCTCTCTCTCTCTCTCTCTCTCTCTCTCTCTCTCTCTCTCTCTCTCTCTCTTTCTTTCTCTCTCTCTCTGTCACACACACATATACACACTCTGTTTCTCTCTGTCTCTGTCTCTCTCAATAAAAAGGCACAGCGACAATTTTGGGGTATCAGGAACCTGAAGGTACCATCAAGCTGCTGATGCATTCGCCCCACAGGTGCAGGTTGATCTGCTGGCGGCACCATTTCTTCGCCTGCAATAAATCTTGTGCTTGCCTGGAAACCACCTCTTCTAACTTTCCAGTAAACAATCTTAGCTATCAAGTTTAATATCTATTGGTTCCTTTTAGGTCCAGTATAATTATAATTAACTCTTCATAAAGTGGCAATAGACAGAATTTTGTATTTTTATATTTACATTATCTGGGTTTCTGAATAATAATGACTACAAAGACAATAGTTATTGTAATTGATTCATATCTTTATTGAGGCAATAAATTACATTTTTGTTAGAAGGAACTACAACAACATGCTGTATGATGACTATATATTGATAATATGTATTTATAAATTCTTGTCTAGCCAACTAATATACAAATCCCTTATCCTGAGACCTAGCTTTAGGGAGATTGGAAATGCCATGAAAGATAAAGCTCCATGTAACCCATCTTCAATATGATCATTAGTCACATGAACACCGACTTTCTGGAGTCTTGAGACATACATGAGTCCATCATCCCTGATGATATCATATTGGCAGGTAAGGATGTAAGTGGCGGGCAAATTCTTCAATTGTGTATCATTGGCCAACAAAGGTGATGTTCTGATGTCTGTAAGTGCTGGCAGTGAGATTCTTGATTTCCCCAGAATTGGTTCAGTATAGACAAAGCCCTTTCGATACTTCTCAGGCAGGAGAATACTCCAGTTTGCAAACTGGAACAGGTATCTGGATTCCAGAGGCATGTGGTGGTTTTTTTTAATTGCCCAAAAAAGTGCTTCATCTTTGCCTAAATATAATGTAAGAAATTTTATGACTAGGTCTTTTGTCAAAAAAATACCATGCTCATTTTCTTGATGAGATGGGAAAAAAGAATCTATTATCTGTAAGTGAGGATAAAGTAAAGCCTGTGCCTTGATTTTATGTTTTATTTGAAGATCATTCTGTACCTGAAAGAAAAAAAAAACAGACTGTATCCTATGAGCTATGAGGCAGAGATCCTCAGAACACCATAGAAAAGTTGATTTTAATGTAAGCAATCTTGAGATAAACCTATGTAAACACAAGTGCCCTTGCAACCATTTTTACATATTTACAACGTCAGTACTTCATTTCATAAGTAATGTTTTAACAGTTTTGATTGTGTGTGAGAAACAGTATGGGATACTGGGAATCGAACCCAGGTCGGCCTCATGCAAGGCCTTGCACGCAGCCAACATGGCCGACCCGAGCAAGCTACCGAGAGTATCTCGCCCGCACGGCAAAGCCTGGCAAGCTACCCATGACGTATTTGATATGCCAAACACAGTAACAACCAAGTCTCAAGATGGAGACGTTACTGGGCCCACTCGAGCAAATCGATGAACAATGGGAGGACCGTGACCGTGAGAAACAGTAAAGGGTATGACCGGTGTGAATTGATAATAAACCCTGGATACAGAGTGCAGAACTGAGAATATCAGTTTGATGATGGGGGGAATGGGGGGAATGAGGTGGATGGAGAGTAGTAACACAAGGGGATTGGCGGAGGGCCTTGGGCATTTTGGTGATGGTGAGGTAGATAACTATGGTACCGTAAATACAGTATGGGTATTTACCCATACCGTAAATATCAACACTTAAAAACATATAATATGAACTATAATAATAAATTTTAAGAAAAGACAGTGGAGGAAGGTCATTGGCACTTTGATGGTAAAACACAATAACTTTGAACAACAGAACTAAAATATTAATACTATAGTGACCATGTTGCCTAAATTATAAATTTAAAAGTATGATCATAAACAAACATAAGATAGGTTAAAAGAAGTTACCTTTTTCACTTCTATAAATGTGCTGAATTCTCATCTATACAACTTCTGAACATATATAAAAAAGTTAAATAGATATTATGCTATTATTTTATAATAAAGTAATTTGAGGGTTGGACTGATATGAAATTTTAATTCAATCCAATAAAAAATATTTATTGCCCCAATGTTATTAAAAATTGCATCAGCTTGGATTTGTTACATTCCTATTTATTTGTTATTGTTCTGTTGGAAAGCTATGCAAGCAGGCATTATGGGTGTGGATTTTTTGTCACACCCCTTCAAAACCAGATTTAGATAAATATCAAGACAATATTGCTGTAAGACTCAGCATAGACGTTGGCATAGTATTTCCCAAGTGGGGAAAGTCTCCTCTTGTCATTTCCTTTCACAGTTCCCACTCAATTCCAACCAGACTGTCCGAAGAAGTGACAACTTTCAGAGACACAAAGATTTGGCCTGGGTAGGAAAAAACCTCAGAGATCAACAACTTGAACGATTTATAAACTTAATTCTGGCAATAAAATTTCATTTTTACTAGGGGGTATGGTGCCGCCAGCAGGTCAATCTGTACCTGTGAGGTGAGTGCATCAGCAGCCTGATGGCGCCTTCAGACTTCCAGATACCCCAAAATTGCTGCTGTGCCTTTGGCCAGACCCCAAAAACTTGGGACAAAGTTTACCAAGAAAGTCAACGGTCAAAAGTTAGGTATTGGGAAACACACCCACAAATCACCTCCGGCTCAGCTATATTATTGGAGGCAAGGCCTCTTTGATTCCTGATTGAACTGCTTAATGGCCATGATCCCAGAGACTCAGAAATGAATCTCGGAACCCAGCGGCTTTAGGTAGAAATGCGTACGGTCCCTGCAGTAGGCTACTGGTGCTGGGCCAACCCAGGTGGGAATAGGTTTCATGCCTTGGCCTGTTCCCCCTGGCGGCCCAGTGGCTGCCATCCTTCAGAAGCCACTGGATAGTCACATTTGGGCCCCCAGTGACGAGACACACAAGGCCTCATGGGATGGGGGGGTGGAGCCGGGCTTGTTCTCCCCACCTCAACGAGACCCCAAGTCATCGCCCACAAACAGCCTCTCTGGCTCCTGATCAAGTTGCTTAATGACCATGATCCCAGAGACTCAGAAACAAATCTCAAAACCCAGTGGCTTTTGGCAGAAATGCGTCCGGATCCCACAGTACGTTACTGTCGCCTGGCCACCCCAGGGAGGAAAGGGTGTTGTCCCTCTGCCTGCTCCCTCTTGGCAGCTTGGTGGCCATCATCCTCCAGAGGCCATTGGACAGTCAGGCTTAGGCCCGCAGTGATGATACTTGTTGGGCCTCACGGGATGGGGTGGAGCCGGGCCTGTCCTCCCCACGCCAACGAGACCCCAAGTCATTGCCCACGAATGGCCTCTCTGGCTCCTCATCAAGCTGCTCAATGGCCATGATTCCAGAGGCTCAGGAGCAGATCTCAAAACCCAGTGGCTTTTGGCAGAAGTCCCTCCAGATTTAAGTATTAAAATTTAGGAATTTCAAAATCCCGCGGCCACTACTGCAACCACGCGACATCATATGTTATTCATAACCAGCAATAGAAAACAAATTGTCTACTGTTGTCTTTTCAGCAGATCTGAGTGTTGGGGTAAAATAAAAAAAAATAATGGTGGGTCTGGTGTCAAAATATTGAATGTAATCAAAGTAGAGAGAGAGTAATGTGGAAATCATCTGCCCCACAGGTAGGGGGAGGGTTGGGGATGGGGGTATACTGGGGTTTTTGGTGGTGGAGAATGGGCACTGGTGAAGGTACGGGTGTTTCATTGTATGACCGAGACTTAGACCCAAAAGCTTTGTAACTGCTCTCATGGTGATTCAATAAATAAAATTATAAAAAATGGAAAAAAAAGTAAGGTGGAGTTCATGCACAATTCAATCAGCTAATCAGTGGCTGAATTAACAGCAGTACTCCTACAAAAAAAATTTCATTTTTACTATAGGAATATGTGTATAGAACTCAAAATTTGAAAGTAACTAAAATGACTTGCAGTCAAAGGATAAATCTTGTTCTCTCTTCTATTCTGGCTGCAGAGTAGGGGTGTGTGTGTGTGTGTGTGTGTGTGTGTGTGTGTGTGTGTGTGTGTGCTTTAGAGATTACTATAGACTTGCACATATATGTGTTTTTGTATGTTTATACATATACGCTGTATTGGCATGATTCTCAAATAATTTAATGGTATCAGTATAACCTATATTAAAACCTGACAAAGGAAAATAAAGAAGGAATAAATTCCCCAAGACTTTAATTTTGCAAATGAAAATCAGAAATATATAAAAAAATTAAAATTTATCATGAGTAAGTGAGGGCCATGCCTGAAACACAATCATAATTTAACATCAGAAAGACTATGACTTACCACATTGCAGATTATTTGAGAAAAAACACTTGGCCATCTCATTAAATGCATTAAAAATATTTGGCAAATTCAATACTCATTTATGCTAACACAATCAACACATTAGAAATAGAAGACGCTTAGGGTTGAAGAGATAGTACAGTGGGTAAGGCGCTTGCCTTGCGTGTGGCAGATCCAGATTCAATTTCTGTCATCCCATATGATACCCTGAGTCCCACCATGAGGGATTTCTGAGTGTAGAGTCAGGAGTAACCCCTGAGCATTGCCTGGTGTTGCTCAAAAACAAAACAAAACAAATAGAGATAGTTTCCTCAAATGATAGAATGGAATTGAAAGAACCCTTTAGCTAATGTAAAAATTATTAGTGAAATGTTGAGTAATTTCCTTCTGTTCCTGAGCAAGACAGTTATCATCAATATTATATAGCATTCTTTAGTCAGATCACAAATTTTTAAAAGCATAAAGAATGGAGAAGAATGATTAAATTTGCTTCCAGTTCCAAAAGATAGAATTGTGTAGGAAATTCTAGAAAATTAAGAGAAAATGTACTAGAAAAATGTGGGAGTTTGGGGGCTACACCGGCAGTGCCCTAGACCGACTCCTGAATTTGTGCTCAGGGGACACTCCTGACCATCCTCGGGGACCATATGTGGTACCTGAGTTCAGACTAAGGTTGGTCCAACACAAGACAAATACACTATCCCTTGCACTATTTCTTTGGCCCCTGTACTAGAATTTTTAAGAAAAACTTTCAGCATACATTTGTGAAAGGCATGAAAACCACTTGCATTCCCATAAATTGTCAATGAGCATTTGGAATACCTCATTCTAAATGAAATATATCCAACAGAATTCAGAATGCAATCTGAGAAAATATTTGCAAGACTTCTACAATGGAAAGAGCAGAATTTTGTTGAGGAAACCAAAGAGAAACTTACTAAAATGTGTGCTACGTAAGGGTAATAATCCGAAGTCTTAGGGTTATTAAGATGTCAATGTTCCCAAATCTGCAATCTTAATTTAATTTAAAACAATTTCCATTTAATTGTCATTTAATTGTTACATAGTTTGTTACATAATTTAATAACAATCAAATTACAATTAACCTTGCTATTATTTATGAAATTAACATATCAAATGTTTGAGTGGAAAAATATATGGTAGATTTAATGGAGATAAACTGAAGGAAATAAATCTGATTAGTTTTGCATTGACACACTGTCACTGTGTCACTGTATCACTGCCATCCCGTTGTTCATCGATTTACTTGAGCGGGCGCCAGTAACGTCTCCATTCTTCCCAGCTCTGAGATTTTAGCAGCCTCTCCTTACTCATCTTTTCCAATGCTGCCATATTGGAGGCTCTTTCAGGGTCAGGGGAATGAGGCCCATTATTGTTACTGTTTTTGGCATATCGAATACATTACAGGTGGCTTGCCAAGCTCTGCCGTTCATACATTAAGAACATTAAGAACAGATACATTAATGAAGCAGAAGAGGAATTCAGAGCTGGTCATATTAAGAAAATTGATTGTAGACACAAGTATCCCAGTGATCCAATGAGAAAGGATGATCTTGTCAACAATGGTGCAGCAAAAATTCAAAAACAAGTCCCTTCCCTTCCTCCTGAACAAAGACAAATGTGACCTACCTGTTGCGTCACAGCTGCTGCTAACGCACCTCCTGCACTGTCTCCAGAAATACAGATCCGGGTGGGGTCCACTTCATACTTCATAAGAACTTCATCTTGAAGAAAATACTTGACTGCGGCAAAGCTGTCTTCAAACTGAGCAGGAAACACGTGTTGAGGAGCTAGTCTGTAGCTTAAATTAAAATAAAAGTTAAAACATTTTGGAGTTGGAGCGATAGCTCAATAGGCCACAGCACATGTCAGCATTTAGGAAGCCGAAAAAAGAACATTTTATTTAAATAATTTATAAGAAACCACCTTTCTATCATGTAGCCTTCAGTTTTCAAATAGATGTAATTGGACAGCTTCATTTTTGGATTATAGCAATCAACCTGAATTTTCTAATGTCCCATAGAAACAAGAAATTGAAGTTTGTGTCAACTTTGTGTAAAGATTGTGTCGTATGTAACAGGAGGTGCCACAGGTAAAGAGCAAGACAAAGAGCTGAGGATGCTTGAGATGGAAAGTTCCATCTTAACTCGCATATGCTTTGGATTGGAGATGCCCCAGCTTGCTTCGTATTCTCAGATAACTGGAAATCCAATAATTTCTTTTAGATTAATATATTTTTTTCATTTCTTCTGGTTTGTAGCCGCACTCAACTGTGTTCAGGGCTTATATTTACTGTCTCAGGGAACAGTCTTGAGAGAGCACAGGGGACCATATTTGGTCCCAAGGACTGAACCCGGCTTGGCTGCCTTCATGGAAACACCTACCCACTCTCCTATCTCTCCAGAACGATCCAGTCATTTTTGTAGAGCATTTTTAAAAAGCAGCACAGATATCTGAAGCCAACAAATCTGGTAGTATATTTAAGCAAATGTCCTTTATTTTCAAGGTCATTTAGATAAAACATTTTATGGTCTGGCAATGCACATTCACTCATAACTTGCCATAGACAAAGCACAGAAGTTTATACTAGGTAAAAGTTTGAAAATAAATAACATTTATACCTGCTGGGAACTCACTTATTTCTGTTCAATTTTATTTGTAAGATAAGCTACCACAGAATTCTTTGAATAAAAAATATATATCTGCTTCCCCTTATATAAGTATCAATAAAAATAGGAGATACCACCACTAATCTGTTCTTAGGGACAAACTTTCTTTACTTAGATACTGAATTGTATAGGTATGTGTACTTCACATTAAATAATAAGATGATCTTTAGCATTTTATCATAAGTTGTACTTAGAAAACCCTAAAGTACAATTTAAGTAAGAAAGTTGTCATTATTTTAAATGTAGCAGATGTAGACAGTTTTTAGTAAATATCAATGGTAATAAGAATTTGACAGAATTTACAAGAGTGACAAACATATCACTATGTGGGATTGGGAAATAGCCTAATGGTTAGGGCATGTGCTAGACCCAGGTTCCATCCCCCCCAAACCACAATCTCTCCTGAGTAATGCCAGGTACGACCCTGGAAATCCCCCAGGTATCAGCAGTATGCCCCTAGTCATTGCTGGAGCTAAAGGAGCCAGCCAGCACCACACCCTCTGGGTCTAGCAGAATTACCAGAATTCCTGATCTGGCTGGCCAAGTATCACCAGAGTGAACCCCAAGCAATCTGAACACTGCTGCTTATAAATTTCTCCAAGTAAATGATACACAAAGAGATAAATAATATACCACAACTTGAATGTAATAAATTATGGATAACTTTATGAAAAATAAATAATATACCACAATTCTAACATATTTTCAGTGATAAATTTTAGATTTCTTCTTGGATTTGCTGAGACTGGGGGATTCCTTCTCATTTCTGGATGGAAATGAGAACCACCACCTGGATGGAAACATGATCTGGGAGTCAAATTGATGACCAGAAATACTGGGACAGAGCAACCAGCAGGTGCAAAATGTCTACCAGGCTTTTGGCATGAACAGAGTCCACATTCCACTTGGTTTTCCTGGGAGGGAGTTTCAGGGTTTCATTGATCTTTTCGAGGACAGTTTGCAGCTTTTGCTTCTGAGCAATCTTAGACTGGGTGAGCTCAGCATCATTCAGCTTTTCACTTTACAGTTTCTCAAAAAGTTTCTGTAGCACTTGTCCATCATATAAATCTTTATACAGGTCTTTCACAATGATTCTCTCTCCCACCAAGACGTCATTAATCCAGTCAGTTATTACCTTCATCAGTTCTTGAAGTTTGGGGTCGCTGTGTGAGTTTGGCTCCACCATGGTGCGAACTTCATTCTCCTCCAGCATGGTGTCCTCGGGGTCCAGCTCAAAGGGGATGGGGCTGAGGGGCAGGTTGATGGCGTTCATACCCTCCTCCTGGAGCTCCAAGACCTCCTTGGTTTTCTGACTCTGTGCCAGCGTCCCTCTGAGTTTCCCCAAGAAGGAGTCATCTTTCTTGCGGGATGGGGGCGACTTGGGCATGGGGGACTGGGGCACCGATGGAGACTTCTGTGGGGAGGTGGTCATGGCGCTGCCAGGAGCCGCCAGTCAGACACCGAGTGCAGCTGCATAGGCCCAGCTGTACTGAGGCTGCGGCTGTGGCCTGAGCTCCGCCACGGGCTGAAAGCCACGTTTCCCGGCACTTTGGCACACGATGAGGAGTTGGCTAGATTTGTAAAGACTGGAATGGGAAGGAATGAGAGTGAAGATAGATGGTCGGCAACTACACCATCTCCACTTCCCTCATGACATTGTTCTAATAACACCAAACATCAGCCAAGCAGCACAAACACTGGCCGACTTTGAACATGAGTGTGGAAAAGTCGGACTACAGCTGAATCTTATGAAGACAATGTTTATGAGAAAAGGTCTCGTTCCTGACATTCCATTTGCTCTCAATGGAATGAACATCTCCGAATGCAACAGTTATGTGTACCTAGGTCAAGAAGTCAATATGACAAATGACCTGGCACCTGAGTTGTGCAGGAGGAAGAGAGCAGCTTGGAACGCTTTCAAGAGCGTCAAAGAAATACTTTCTGCATTAACATACGCCTCAGAGACCTGGGCCCTACAAAAACAGGATGAGAACGCTATTCAGGTCTCCCAAAGAGGAATCAAAAGAAATCGAAAGGACTATGCTTGGAGTATCACGCTTCACTCAAATAAGAGAATGAACCTGGAGTTCCAACCTCCATCAACAATCAAGAATCAGGGACGCTGTCTCGTTTGCCAAGGCATTGAAAATCAGATGGGCTGGACACGTAATGACATTTGGAGACGAACACTGGACTAGAGCTATTACCAACTGGATTCTATGGAACGTCAAAAGATCACGTGGCCACCCACCTACGAGATGGTCGGACTTCTTCGTCAAGACCCTGAACAATCAGTTTGAGGCTCTTTGTGTTCCTAGAATAAGCAGACGCCATTGGGCTACACTAGCACGCGGCAGGGATGAATGGAGATGTTACTGGTTCCTGCTCGAGCGAATTGATGAGTAACAGGATATCAAGTGATCAAGTGAAATTTTAGATTACTTCAAGAACTTTGATATTTATAAAAGGGAAAATACCATAAAATTATAAACTCAAATTTTATAAAGTAGGATTTCTTGGTGGTACTGTAAATATCCATAGTGTCAACAATGGAATCACTCATCAATCATGAAATTCTCACTTGGTTTTTCACTCTCAGCTTCCACAGTTTCCTAGCTAATAGCAAACAAAACCGTGTCAGGATTTGAGAGATTCTAAAGGCCTGGAATGGATGCTTGAGGCACACATGGTCCCCCAGAAATGCCCCCCAAACCAAAATCGACTAACATCCAAAAAACGAAAAACATGCCTCCATGTCCTCTGAGAACTGTTGGATTTAAGTCTGTTTTTGTCAATATGTGTCAGGGGAAAACTGAAAAAAAAAAAAAATTTCCCCCGGAGTAGGTCAGCTTCAGAAATGCAGACCAAAGCAATGTGAATAAACAACACTGAACTATTCTGTGGTCTGTTCTAGCAAAATCCAAATTGAAGATCATTTAATTCCACTGAAAGTGGCTACAAATTCTCAACTGATCCCAACACTTAGCTCCAACATTACTTCAAGCAATAATCTAAGGCACTTAATTACAGCCCAAATGTGTGATGGTTTCTCACTTTCCTCCTGCGTGACCTGTCACCCAGCTCACACAAGCCTGGTAGTACCTGGGCTGTAGATGTCTAATGACACCCAGCTGTTGCTCAGAGCACCACCATAACCAGGAGAATACGGAGGAGCAGTCTCTTGAAAGGTGACTGACACAATGCATTGCTTTCAGACTTTACTGGAAATGCAGCTGGTTTGATCGGGAACCCACACCTCTACTTCAAGGTAAGTCACTGTAGCAGAAAACCAGAAACTTACTCCACTGCCAGAACCACGGCTTCAAGTGTGCTCGATGTCCATCTGTTCAGTAAGTCAAATCCCGTCTGCTCTGAAAGGAAGAAATACACTCTAGTGAAATCCTTGCTGTTAAGGAGTCACAGAGACACACAGCCACTGAGCTGGAAAACCATCACAGGCTGAGCATCACATGGCACCTTCCTTCCCACTGTTTCTCTGAGTGGACCTGTAGACTCTCCCAGATGCTTAGCTGGTTGGGGTGAGGGAGGGGAGCGAGGCTCAGCCTATCAGAACCTCCTCTTCCAATGTGACCACCTTCTTGGCCTGCTGATAACAGGGTGACTGTACTTCCCCTCTGCTCCTCACAGCGAGCTTCCTAGGGAGAAGCCTGGGCTTGGCCAGAAGAAGCCCAGTAGCTCACCTCTATGTCTGCTCTGTTGAGCCTATGAAACCTCCCCAGGGCATGGGGGAGAGACACACAACTTTCAGAGACAGTGCTCTTATGATAGCTGGTGACACACCCTGAGTGGCCAAGGGTGGGAACGAGGGATGCTGTTCACTGACAGCTCCCAGACGCAGGTGCCTCAGCCACATGGAGACCAAGGCGAGAGACAGCACCAGCATCTGGTGGCTAGAGGAGGAGGACCAGCAGGGGCCTGAGGGTGCAGGTCATGCAGACCCTCAGGCCCAGCTCTGCCCAACTTTGCCCAGTCTCTCAGCAGCCTCTGTGCAGGCAGCGCACGTAGAGCCTGAGTCTCGACAGGACACAATGGTATTCTCGTTCCTTGTCACATGGTGTGGCTAGAATTCACTTCTTGAGCTTTTTCTAATTGCTGGGGAAGAAAACCCATCCTTAATAGCATTTCCTGAAGGGCTCCCGAAGACATGCTTTCCTGAACATTGAACTTCACCTTTGGGTTCCATCCTCACTGTCACCACATCATCTTGCCTCCAACAGGATCACTTTGGTTGCTCATGTGTGTTCATGTGTGAGTTCACAAAGTATGTGTGGATGCTGCGACAATGTGTGGGTTCGGTGGCCCAGAGCCACCTCCCATCCTTCCCAGGCCTCCCCAGCAGAGAGACAAAGGGGGACCACAGCCTGATGGTGAAAATGGCCCCTTTAATGCAGAACTGCTAGCATACTCATAGAACATCTGAAATGGGGTTGAGGTAAGGACATAGGTGTGATTGATCATTTACATAGGTAAGACATCTGGAAATTTACATAGATCATTTATGTAGATAAACCATAAGAAATTCTCTTTTTGAGGAGATTAATGGAAAGAGACACTGTCTTTCAGGGACATCTATATTGCTTTTAATCTTTCCCTCTAGTTGTATACGTATCAATACTTGCAGTTGTTTGGATAAACACAGTAAGAGACAAAGACTCCAACACTTAGTTCTCTGGGCTTTAAGAGCAAGCAAGACTTTTTATCTCAGACTAAGTCTCCTCAGGCCAGTTCAGCTTCTCCTTCCCCATGGGAGTCCTGTCTCTTAAATTATAGCAGCTTGCATCAAGACCATGCATTTATGCTTTCTAGATTGTCCCATTTTGATGCTGGGGTAACTTTGCCAGTCACCCCAGGTCCATCCAGTCCCACAGTGGGACCTCCATTTTGGGGTGTTAGGAATTACAGCAACTGAAGCCTGAGTCAAGTAATTAGGACCAATGCCCAGGAGTAGATATATATTTCAGAGCCAATCAACTCCCAAATATTAGAGCATAGCATTAACGGTCTTTCTGTGTTTAATCAAAGAACATTGCTCGATAGTAAAATATAAAAAGACTATAGGGGAATAAAAAAATCATGTACAAATACACAGAACTTCAAATACAAAGCATCACAAATACAAAGTCAAGAATTATCAGAAAGTTTAGGCTTATAAGTAATGAAGACTGATTTGGGAAACTGTGACAATGAGAGGCAAAATACAAAGGAACAGTTAAAGGTAAACTTTAAATTAGAGTTGCTAACAAGGGCATGGTAAGCTTCTCTGGGAGGAGGAAAAGGGGCAATTCATTGATGAACCTAAAACACTAAGGATTAATATCCAACAGCATGCACTTATGCATGTGCACACCTATGTACATATAAATGTATAGACATTTGCAACTCACTAATTTTCCATGCTCATTTTCTCTTTGACTAATTTCCATGGTGTATATTTGATTAAGTGTTGCTCTGTTGCACACAGAATTATGAAATTCTCAAGCCATATAGAACCAAATGTGGCTTAGAGAATGATAGGTGAAAAATTCGCTTGTTGCCTGTTTATCTTTTCATTCATTATCTTTTCATTCATTCATTCATTCTGTCTTTTCTTTTATCCATTTGTGATACATCCTATATATCACATAGAATTTTGTATCACATAGGATTTGGAAAACCTAGGGTTTTCAAAAACTTGATAAAAGTGAATTTGTTCATTTCTTTTAGACTTTTGTTGCTTTGGGGTTTTTTTTTCAGCTCTAGGGACCATAGAGGTGTCAGAGATTGAACCTGGGTAGATTGCAGGCAAGGCAGACCCTCTACCTGCTGTACTATCACTACAGCCCTATTTTTTTTTTTTTACTTTTTGGGTCACACCTGGCGATTCATAGGGGTTACTCCTGGCTCTTCACTCAGGAATTACTACTGGTGGTGCTCAGGGGACCATATGGGATGCTGGAAATCGAACCTGGGTTGGCCACGTGCAAGGCAAATGCCCTACCCGCTATGCTATTATTCCAGCCCCACTACAGCCCTATTTTATCTTAGTTTTAAATATACTATAAGTACCTCTTAGAATCATTACTAGAGATATGTAGGAGATGAGTCAACTGATCAAACTTATTCTATTGTTCTATTTTGTATTTCCCTCAAAAATCAAGATTTGGGACCATTACAGCTCTAGGCCTCTCATCATTACTGTTTCCAGTGTCTGCAAACTTGTTTTTAGAGCAATCAACAACAAGTGCCTCTAAGTTCCATCTCAAATAGCTCTACCAGTTCAATGTTTCGTTTCTGCTCCTGAACATGTGCTGATGCTAAAGAAAGTTCTTATTGAATCATTAATATCCTGCATTTACTTGATACCGGCTCGTTCAACAGAAAAGCTGAGAAGAAAACACCAAAACAAAAATGAAGGGCATAATCCATATATGCCAAGTACTTTCATGTCTAACCCTCTATTAGTTTATTATTGGATATTAACCAAAAATGTTTTAGGCTTCATCAGTGAATTGCCTCTTTTCCTTCCTGCAGAGATGCTTACAGTGCTCTTAGGAGCACTGCTAATCCCCCAAGTTTATCTTTAACGTTTCCTTTGTGCTTTACCTCTTCTTCTGTTAGCTACTAAATTCTCCAAGTCAGGCTTCATTACTTATAAAGTCAAACCTTCTGATGACTCTGGACTTTGTAGTGAATTGCTTGATTTTCTCTTCCCCTATAACCTTTTCATATTTTACTTTTGAGCAATGTTCTTTGCTTAAACACAGAAAGATATTTAATGATATGCTCCTAATGTTTGGGAGTTAATTCATTCTGTAATATATTTACTCCTGGGCAATTGTCATAATTAGTCGACTCGGACTTCAATCACTGTAGTTCCTAACACCCCCCCCCCCCAAAGCTGGGTCCCACCAAGAGATCTCTGAATGGACCCGGGATAAGCAGCAAAGCTACCCCAACATCGAAATGGGACAGTGAGGAAAGCATAAAGCACAATCTTGATACATGCCATGATGACCTAAAGACAGGACCTCTTGGAGTAGGAAAAGCTAAACCATTGTCTGAGAACTGAGTCTGGGATTTATGGTACAAGCCCAGCCAGCTCTTGCTCCTCAGATCCCAGAGAATTAACTTTTGGAATCTATATTTCTTACTGTGTTTACCCAAATAACTCCAAATATTAATAAGAAATAAGCTTAATCGTTTAATATATACCAGCAGAAAGAGAAAGAGAAAAGTAGTATAGATGCTTGTTGCCCGGGACGAATTTCTCAGTATATATAAGATCTGGGAGACAGAGTGTTTCCTTGAGCTAATTCCCCAAAGAGAATTGCCTCCTTTGAAATGCTTTACATTGTAAATGATCAATTACGCCTGTGTGCTGTCCTATACCTCAACCCCCACCCCCCACCGAGATGTCCTATAAGTATGCTATTCAGTTTTGAATTAAATGGGCCATTTTGACGATCTGTACCCCCGCCCCCCAACTCTTTATACAGCTCCTGGAGAGATGACTCTCAGCCACCGAACCCACTGTACACCGGAATTCACAGTATATAATATCTATAGTCATATCTCATGTGAGTATGTAAACCTACATGTAAATACATCAGTGTGCATAGTCACATAAAATCATTCTTATATAAAAAAAATACAATGGCATTTTCTCTACGTGATAAACTTACTGAAACTTCCTAAACAATAAGAACCACCATGAAAATAAATTACAGCCCTTCTTGGGATTTCTGGTTTTCTCTTCGGCAAATATAGACGTACTGGAATGCCAACGAACGTCAAATCGGAAACTGTGACGTTCTCATCTGAAAATGGCTGAGTATAGTCTAGCCTCAACAGAATGGATAAAAAATCTTCAGATCTCATAATGCCAATATTTTCCAAACACGTAGCCTGTAAAGTAAAACAAAGACAATTTCATCTTTAAATATCCCAAATTCATATAAAGAAAATATCAAAGATAGACACAATAAACAGAATGTTTGTAACAATTGTTTCCAAATAACACTGTATAGGTCTTATTGCACAGAATCGTTGCCTTTGGTAATCTCAGCTACTCTGTATTTGACATTAAAAGCGATGTCATTCAAATGCTGCCATTTTCTGGAAGTTTTTTAATGAATATAATAATTATATCTTAATTGTAAATTATGATCTGAAAAATTCTCTGGTTTGATGATACTCTTTTATTCCTTTCTGTGCAGTCATGCTACCATCTCTCTATCTTTATTATTCTTTTTACTAGATTCAAATTTATGTCATTTTTAAACTGCACTATTAATAATTCAGACTTCCTAGTTTGCAACTCGAAGCATACTTGTGTCCTTCACACGCCCCCTCCCACATCGCCAAAATGCCATTTGATTTCATAGAAGAAAACTCTCTAATATTTCTGACTAGCTTGTCTAGAAGACGTCCATAGACAGTTTGTGCCAAAGCAAAGTCTCAAACATTACACTGTTGAAACTATGTTAAATAGCTTTGGTCACCGCAATTAACACAAGCACATGAAGATATTACCATGCCTTGGACCACTTCTACTTTTTATACATTAATGATAAGGAAGTATGCAAAAACAAGTCTCATCCAATAAATGCCAAAGTCAAATCTGTACCCATTTTGATATACTACCTTCCTATATCATCACGGATGGACCTGAAGCTAATAACTCTCTTTACTAACTTTCTTATCCACACAACTGAAAATAACAAGACTGCAGAGAGTACAGTAAGTAAGACACTGCCTTACATGTGATAGACCCAAATTTTATTGTAACCACCAAATATGGTTCCCTGAACACACAGGAGTGATCACTGAGCACAAAGCCAGGAGTGAGCCCCAAGCACAGGTGCCCCTACAGGTGCCCCTATATCAAAACAATAATAATAAAATCTCTTTTTTTTTTTCTTTGCTGTTTGAGTCACACCTGGCGATGCTCAGGGGTTACTCCTGGCCCTGCAATCAGGAATTACTCCTGGCGATGCTCAGGGGTCCATATGGGATGCAGGGAATTGAACCCGGGTTGGCTCAATTCCCAGCGTGCAAGGCAAACACCCTACTGGCTGAACTATTGCTCCAACCCAATGGTGTGTTTTTAAATGAATTGGGGCTTTTAATACACACAGAAAAGTTCCTGGAACATGTAAGTAAACAATAACATGAATTGTTATTCAAATATTCCTCAATGGTCAGAGTGCTGGAGTATTTTTTGTGCCAATTGGATATCATCAAATAGAATATTCCCTAATGTTTCTGATAAATGGGTAAATTAAGTTAATGTTCCTCTTGGTGAATTGACTGTTAAAAATTATATTTCTGAGCGACATGAAGAAAACAATCCTGATCACAATTGTGCCTCAGAAAATAAAGTACCTAGAAATCAGCTTAACTAAGGAAGTAAAGGACCTGTACAAAGAAAACTACAAAACTCCACTTCAGGAAATAAAAGAGGACATGAAAAAATAGAAAGATATCCCCTGCTCACGGGTCAGGAGAGTTAACATTGTCAAAATGGCAATACTTCCCAAAGCATTGTACAAATTCAATGCAATCCCTTTAAGGATACCCATGACATTCTTCAAAGAAATGGAGCAAAGACTCCTGAAATTCATATGGAACAATAAGCCCCCACGAATAGCTGAAGCAATTCTTGGGGAAAAGAAAATGGGAGGAATCAACCTCCCTAACTTCAAACTCTTCTACAAAGCAGTAATAATTAAAACAGCATGGTACTGGAACAAAGGCAGAGCTGCAGACCAATGGAACAGGGTTGAATACACTGACATCTCCCCTCTGTCATATGATCATCTAATCTTTGATAAAGGTGCAAGAAATGTGAAGTAGAGTAAGGAAAGCCTCTTTAACAAATTGTGCTGGCAAAACTGGACAGCTACATGCAAAAAAATGGGCTCAGAACTCTGCCTAACACCATGTACAAAAGTCAGATCAAAATGGATTAAAGTCCTCAACATCAGACCGGAAACCATAAGGTACATTGAAGACGAAGTTGGCAAAACCCTCCATGACATTAAAGCTAATGGTATCTTCAAAGATGTCACGCCCCTGGCGGAGCAAGTGAAAACAGAGATAGATAAATGGGACTATCTTAAACTAAGAAGCTTCTGCACCTCCAAAGAAACAGTGACCAAAATACAAAGACAGTCTACAGAATGGGAAAGGATATTCGCCGAATACACATCTGACAAGGGGTTGATATCAAGGATATATAAAGTACTGGTTGAACTCCACAAGAAGAAAACATCCAACCCCATCCAAAAATGGGGCAATCAAATGAACAGAAACTTTCTTGAAGAAGAAATCCGAATGGCAAAAAAGCACATGAGAAAATGCTCTACATCATTAATCATCAGGGAGATGCAGATCAAAACCACAATGAGATACCATCTCACACCTCAGAGACTGGCCCACATCCAAAAGAACAAAAGCAACCGATGCTGGTGCTGATGTGGCGAGAAAGGGACACTCCTTCACTGTTGGTGGCAATGCCGACTGGTTCAGCCCTTCTGGAAAACAGTATGGACGATTCTCAAAAAATTAGAAATTGAGCTCCCATTTGACCCAGCAATACCACTCCTGGGACTATATCCCAGAGAGGAAAAATGTATAGTTGAAGTGACATCTGCACTTGTTTGTTCATTGTAGCACTCTTTACAATAGGCAGAATCTGGAAAAAACCTGAGTGCCCAAGAACAGATGACTGGTTAAAGAAACTTTCGTACATCTACCCAATGGAGTACTATGGAGCTGTTAGAAAAGATGAAGTCATGAAATTTACATACAAGTGGTACTACATGGAAAGTATCATGCTAAGCGAAATGAGTCAGAAAGAGAAGGATAGACATAAAAAGATTGCATTCATCTGGGGGACATAAAGTAACAAAATAGGAGATTAATACCGAAGAATATCTGAGATCAGTACCAAGAGGATTACTCCATGGCTTAGAGGCCAGCCTGGCATTCTAGGGGAAAGGGCAGTTCAGATAGAGAAGAGAGCACCAAATAAGGGTGTGGGGAGGATCCTCCCAGGATGGGAGATGCATGTTGAAAGTAGACTATGGACCGAACAGGATTGCCACTCAATGCCTCTTTTGCAGACCACAACACCCAAAAGGAGAGAGAGAACAAAAGGGAATGCCCTGCCACAGAGGTAGGATGGGATGGGGGGATGGGGGTGGGAGGGATACTAGGATCCATGATGGTGGAAAATGGGCACTAGTGGAGGGATGGATATTTGATCATTGTATAATCGAAACCCAAGCACAAAAATTTGTAAATCTACAACTGTACCTCATGGTGTTTCACTAATAAAAATTAGTTACACCCACCAACTGCCGTGTAACCTCAACAATGGCCAGGATCCAGAGATTATCACACTCAGATGCGGCCGCGTGACATCTTATCATCTCATTCCTACTTTGGACAAACTGGCAGGCTACCCAATGTAACCTGCCCACACAGCAGAGTCTGGCAAACTCCCCGTGGCGTACCCAATATGCCAAATACCAGTAACAATGAAGGGTCTCATTCTCATAACTCTGAAAGAGCCTTGAATATGGCACTTTTAAAAAAAAATCTCAGAACTAGGACGAAGGAGATGTTACCGGGGCCTGCTCGAGGCAATCGACGAATAAAAATTAATAATAAAAAATTATATTTCTGACATATAGCCTTGCTTCTTATTTATTATATATTTTCTGTTGCTGAGAAAGGCTTATAATAGTTGGAAATGATCACTCTGGACAAGAACTGAGTGTTGAAAGTAGGTAAAGGGATAACCTTTCATTACTTGTATTAAAAATCATAATGCCTAATAAGGGGGTGACAGAAATTGAGAGAGAAAGAGAGAGAGAGAGAGAGAGAGAGAAACAAGAGAGGTGCTTCTTGTAGAGGCAGGCTATCGTGGGGGGGTAAGGCATAGGAGGTGGTGGGTGGTGGGAGAGAAACTGGGGACACTGGTTCTGGGAAATGTATACTGGTGAAGGGATGGATGATTGATTGTATGACTGAAACCTAATCATGAACAGCCTTATAATTCTCTATCTCATGGTGATCCAATTAAAATAATAAAATAAAATAGATATATTTGAGAAAATAAAAGAAAAAGTACATCCTAAGCATACTGTCAAATACATAAAATACATTAATTTCATAACGCTGGACAATGGTGTGGGCTAGAGCAATAGCACAGCAGTAGGGCGTTTGCCTTGCAAGCCGCCTGCCTGGCCGAGCCGGGTTCAATTCTTTCACCCCTCTCAGAGTGCCCGGCAAGCTACTGATAGTATCTCGCCCGCATGGCAAAGCCTGGCAAGCTACCCGTGACATATTCGATATGCCAAACACAGTAACAACAAGTCTCACAGTGGAGATGTTACTGGGCCCACTCGAGCAAATTGATGAACAATGGGAAGACAGTGCAGTGCCACAGTGCAGTGCAGTGGACAATGGTGAGGATAATTGTCACTGCGATAATAAAAGCCAAATTTTAAAATTGCATGTTCTGCTAGAGCAATTCTGATTTCTTTGTTTGTGTCTTGGGCCATACCCAGCAGTGTTTAGAGATCACTTTGTGGGGGCTTGGAAGCTTATTTTGTTTTGATTTTTGATTATCATCTCAATACCAGTCACTCTGAGCTTTAAAAGGAATGTTGGAGAGACAGCACAGAGGGTAGGGCATTTGCCTTGCACGCGGCTGACCCAGGTTCAATTCCCAGCATCCCATATGGTCCCCTGAGCACCACCAGGAGTAACTCCTGAGTGCAGATCCAAAAGTAACCCCTGTGCATCTCCAGGTGTGACCCAAAAAGCAAAAAAAAAAAAGTGCATGAGATATCAAAGACACAGTAACAGTTTCACTTGCTTGGTCAACATATTTCCTTGCATGTTGAATCCTGGAGTCAGAATCCTAGCCAGAGAGAGCCTCTCACAGAGACACTGACAGACCCCCGCATCAATACCAAACAAAAACAAGTCCCAGTAATGCATGTATCTATGTCAAGATCATAGAACTCCGCTGTCTCTGAAAATGCAGACGTAAGCAGTTATCAAATAACTCTTAGAGTCTTTCCCTCCCTCCAACAGTGTAGTTTGTATTACCCACATCACAATATATGAGGACATGACTTCTTGCCATCAAAAGTTCTATTTCATTTTTTGTACAGATGAAGCCAGTTCTTAATTTATTCTAATAAATAACCAAGAAATTATTTTAAAATAGTAGTTAGTAGAATGTTTAAATAGACTGATTTTCCGTGGGGAAAAAAAAATCTATATCCAGGAGTAAAATGTTAATCTTACCGTAAATGTACACGTTTTAATCATTGCATCCAAGATCCTTACTTTCCATCTTTCTTCAATGTTGCTTGGTATGGGTGTGTAGAAATAATAGGCAAAGAGCAGACAAAGCAACCCCAAATAGAGAGCTTTGGGTCCCATAATGTTCCTTTATCCAAGCTCTTTAAAGTGTTAAGGTTAGTTTTCCCCCATCAATCTGGAGCAATAGACAGCAGAATAGACTGAGAACCTTTCAGGTTATAAGCGCATCTTATCGCTGAAAGCTAATTTGACATAGAAAATGACAGTGTGCAGCAACTTGTTTGACAAGTTCAGAGTGAGATGAGATTCTGTTTCCTTCACGTGCAGATAAAACTTCTACAAAATTTCTTCATCCTTTGTTGCAAGTATCAACCTTGATCCCCGATTATTGGATCTCACCTTATCTAATGAAGACAAGGTTCAAAGGTGGAGAGCTGCAATATTCTCTAATAAGAAGTTTAAAACTTTAGCTAATAGTCAAAATTCAGACTGTCTCTGTCACTGTTCTCCCATTGTTCATCGATTAGCTCGGGCAGGCCCAGTAATGTCTCCACTGTGACTCTTGTTACTGTGTTTGGCATATCGAATATGTCACGGGGAGCTTGCCAGGCTTTGTCGTGTGGGCCAGATACTCTCAGTAGCTTCCCAGGCTGTCCAAGAGCGGTGGAGGAATTGAACTCGGGTCAGTCATGTCGCCACATGCAAGGCAAACGACCTACCTGCTGTGCTATTGCTCACTTACTAAACATGTTAATAAACTCTGTTTTTTTATGAGGTGCCAAGCTTTGGATCAGAAGCTTGGGCATGGAGCTGGAGTGATAGTACAGCATGGAGCGCATTTGTCTTGTACAAGACCAACCCAGGTTTGATCCCTGGCATCCCATATGGACCTCTGAGCGTTCCAGGATTAATTCCTGAGCACAGAGCCAACTGTGAGCACTGGTAGGTGTGACCCCCAAACAAAAACAAAACAAACAAAAAAGACTGGGCATGAGGGTCTTATTCAAACTCTATTACCAATCAACATGAAAGCTTTTTGTTATATAAAAGCTTTTATATAACAAATGTCCACCTCAGCAACAACAACCAGAATTCAAACTGATAAGACATGGGCTAAGGACTTGAATAAACAATCCTTCAGGGCGATGTGCAAAAAGACAAGTATATGATACAATGGTTGTCATCAGCATAAAAGGGACATAAGTTTACTCCACAACAAGATTTTACTTCAAGCCATTAGGAGGACCACTGTCAAAATGAAGTCGGTGGGACCCCATGCGTGGCTTATGTGAGTCTGGGAGGAGAGAGACATTCATTCACCTCTGCCACTCTGGTACTGTCTGAGAAGACTAGGACTGATAGTCTGTGATAAGCCCCTGTGCAGCACAGAGCAGAGCCCTGCGAGTCTCACCAGGTGGCCCTCAAGCCACACCTGGTTCCTATTGCTATTCTCTGTATGGGAGCTGATCCTCACCACCTGATTTCTCGAGGAGTCTTGGACTCAACCTGGATCAAGGAATTGCTCTTTGTGGGAAAGGAGAGCCAGTCCTAGGCTTACCCAGGGTTTCCAGGTACCTTGCCCTATCTTGCAGAAAAGAATTTCAGGAGGAGACAAGCAGTGTAGTAAGATAAATTTTATTTAGAGGCTTTCAGGAAGAGAAAGGAAGGAGAGAGAGAGAGAGAGAGAGAGAGAGAGAGAGAGAGAGAGAGAGAGACAGAGACAGAGCCAGAGCCAGAGAGAGCCAGATAGAGATGCTCCCAAGAGAAAATGTGGGCTTCATAAGCTCGGATGCCACATGTGCTCAATCACGTGAGCAATAAGCAGCACATGGGCTAGGGCAGCATATGTGCTTCCTTCCTTTGTTCAAGGTAGCCTTTATAGGGTTTCTCCCCCAGTGTGCTTGTATGTAGGTAAATAGTCCGTTACTAGGGTTCGTTGCCATGAAAGTAGGGTTGGAAGTGGTTGATAGTCCTCTTTGAAATTCCTTTCCTGGCCTTTGCTCCTGCTGGAACTTCTCTTGGAGGGGAATCCAGCCTTCTCTTGGTCTGTTGCTGGTGTCAGGAAGAACTGATCCTATGCTTACTGGTGAGCATTTTGCATCTTCAGGGCTATTTTTATTATTTCCCAGGAATCCATTGCCATGGCCCTTTCCTGCTACCTGTCTGCCTCAAAAAAGAACAGAGTGACAAATCTTCACTAGGATAGAAAGGCATTGGTGCCCTTGTACCTAGTAAGAATCTGTTGATGTGAAAGCTGTTGTCATAGACTTTTTCCCTTGTTCTCAAGATTACTTCTGCATGACCCAGGATGGTTTATTAAAACAAGAATGTAGTTCACCGCCCAGGAGAGTGATCAGATCTGGCACGCCATTCCTGAGCCCACACCTCAGGCCACCCCTTTGACCCCAACCCTTCTAGCTGCCTGGACCGCCATCCTGCCCGCCCCCACGCCCACACTGTCTTTCAACACTGCCTCCAGCTTGCTTTCTATCCCAGGTGGGTGACCCCCCCAGCAAGTATATGATACAAATCTTGTTAACAATCATGCCTCAGAAAATCAAGTACCTCAGAATCAACTTAACTAAGGAGATAAAGGACCTGTACAAAGAAAACTACAAAAGGCTACTTCACGAATAAAAGAGGACACAAGGAAATGAAAAAATATCCCCTGCTCGTGGATTGGCAGAATTAAAATTGTCAAAATGGCAATACTCCCAAAGCATTATACATATTCAATGTGATCCCTATAAGGATACCCATGACATTCTTCAAAGAAATGGATCAAACACTCCTGAAATTCATATGGAACAACACTGTCACTGTCACTGTCCTCCCATTGTTCATCGATTTGCTCAAGCAGGCCCAGTAATGTCTCCATTGGAGACTTTGTTATTACTGTGTTTGGCATATTGAGTACATCACGGATAGCTTGCTAGGCTCTGCCGTGCGGGTGAGATACTCGTGGTAGCTTGCCGGGCTCTCCGAGAGGGGAGAGGAATCGAACTCGGGTCAGCCATGTTGTCTGCGTGCAAGGCAAACACCCTACCACTGTACTATTGCTCCAGCCCATGGAACAAAAAACCCCCATGAATAGCTAAAGCAATTCTTGGGAAAAAGAAGATGGGAGGCATCACCTTCCCCAACCTCAAACTATACTATAAAGTGATAATAATTAAAACAGCATGGTACTAGAACAAAGCAGAGCCACAGACCAATGGAACAGAGTTGAATATTACTACACACACCCTCAAATATATGATCATCTAATCTTTGATGAGGTAGCAAGAAATATAAAGTGGAGCAAGGAAAGACTCTTTAACAAATGGTGCTGGCAAAACTGGACAGCTACATGCAAAAAAAAAAAAAAAAGGACTCAGACCTCTACCTAACACCATACACAAAAGTCAGATCAAAATGGATTAAAGACCTCAACATCAGACCAGAATCCATAAGGTACATTGAAGGTCGGCAAAACCCTCCATGACATTGAATCTAAAGGTATCTTCAAAGATGGCACCACACTGACCAAGCAAGTGGAAACAGAGATAAACAAACGGGACTATCTTAAATTAAGAAGCTTCTGCACCTCAAAAGAAACAGTGACCAAAATACAAAGTCTACAGAATGGGAAGGGATATTCACTCAATACCCATCTGATAATCAAGGATATATAAGGGTTGATATCAAGGATATACAAGGCACTGGTTGAACTCTACAAAAAGTGAACATCCAACTCCACCAGAAAATGGAGCGATGAAATAAACAGAAACTTTCTCAAAGAAATCCGAATGGCCAAAAGGCACATGAAAAAATACTCTTCATTACTAATCAATCACCAGGGAGATGCAGATCAACATATCAATGAAATATCATCTCACACCACAGAGACTGGCTCACATTCAAAAGAACAAAAGCAACTGGTGTTGCGTGGATGTGGAGAGAAAAGGACTTTCCTTCACTGCTGGTGGGAATGCCGACTGGCTCAGCCCTTTTGGAAAACAGTATGGATGTTTCTCACAAAATTAGAAATTGAGCTCCCATTTGACCCAACAATATCACTTCTGGGAATATATCCCGGAGATACAAAAAAGTATAGTAGAAATGACATCTGCACTTGTATGTTCATTGCTGCACTGTTTACAATAGTTAGAATCATGGAAAAACCTGAGTGCCCAAGAACAGAATACTTGTTAAAGAAACTTTGGAACATCTACACAATGGATTACTAGGCAACTGTTAGAAAATATGAAGTCATGAAATTTGCGTACAAGTGGATCAACATGGAAAGTATCATGTTAAGTGAAATGAGTCAGAAAGAGAGGGACAGACGTAGAAATATTTCACTCATTTGTGGAATATAAAGTAACATAATGGGAGACTAACACCCAAGAATAGTAGATATAAGGACCAGGAGGTTTGCTCAACTGCTTGGAAGCTGGTCTCACATGATGCGGGAAATGGCAGCTCAGAAAGAGAAGGGACCACCAAGTAAAGGGTGTTTGGAGGGCTCACTCAGGATAGGAGATGTGTGCCTAAAGTAGACTACAGACTGAACATGATGGCCATTCAATAGCTGCATTGCAGACCACCGCACCCTAAAGGAGAGTGAGAGGGTAAGGATACTGGGAACTTTGGTGGTGGAGAACAGGAACTAGTGGAGGGATGGGTACTCTATCATTGTATGACTGAAACATAAGAATGAAAGTTTATAAGTCTGTAACTGTACCTCATAGTGATTCATTTAAAAAATAAATAAATTTTTAAAAGCATATATATAAATAAAGAATGTAGTTCACCACGTGCTCCCCTCAGTTAAGTAAGAAAAAAACCCACACAGATTACATGAACCATGTGAGTAGAAGATTCCACCACATTTTGCTCAGGGTGATGGAAGAAACAGGTATTTTTGATCCCCAAGATGAACCAATAGATTCTACATGTTCTAGTAAGTATGCTGAACCCCTCATTCAGTCTTTTCACATACGAAATTACAGCAAATAGCAGATGAAACTAGGAAATAAAATAAAATTCACAGCACTTTGCTTTGTTTTGTTTTTTAATAAGGCAATAGCACTGGTTTCCCTTGTGAAAATTTTGACAGCCCTATACATCTGGCTGGA